TACTTTTTTCAATTTTGTAAATTTATGCAGTTATAGTTAGGCACCTTATTGGACACCCCTGTTGAAATATATTCATATTCATATTCATATTCATTCATTCATTCGTATAAATGTTATATAAGTGCTCCTGTCTTGTACAGTGCCTGAGGAAGACAGAAGAGGGTATCAGATCCCCTAGGACTGTAGTTATAGACTGTTGTTAGCTGCCATGTGGGTGCTGGGACTTGAACCTGGTCTTCTGCAAAAACAGTCAGTGCTCTTAACCGCTGAGCCAGCACTCCAGGCCAGATTCATGTTCTTTACTCAAATCTCAACTGTCCAGCCTTGAGAAAAATAGAAACCCTGACTCTAAGAAACTGATGCTGAACATACCTAAGTATCTACTGCCACACTTGGACCATGATGCTTAGACATCATCACCAAGAGCACCATCCATTCTCACTGCTATGAATCTGAATCTTACCCATACTTCACAGCACGGGTCAAGTTCTACCTGGGATCAATGAACTACCCTTCCTTCTAGTTCTGTACCAACTATTCTGGGAATAAAAGGCCAACTGACCTCACGTCTGGACCTGTTTGCAGGACCTGCCACAGACAAGATGGTTTCCTAGGAAACTGCTAAGTGGTACTATACCTGGTCTGCAGGAGCTCTGACTTGGCCTTAGACCAACATGACTGGAATGGTATAGAAGATTGGTGAGAGAGGCTGTGCCTTTGCTGTGTCAGAGACCCATGTCCATTATAACTCCTTGTAGCAGTGGTGCGTGCCCAGATATAAGTGAGTAGACAAAAGAAGCTGTGTCTTTGGAGGACTTCTGGGTGTCCCTGTGAAACAAAAGCTGTGCCTATTAAATCTCTTGCTTTGTATTCTCCTGTAAAGCTGAAAAACAGTTTCTGCATCTTTCATTGGGAACTGCAGTTACACGGGATGGCATACATACTCTCTGTACAGACTCCCAGGACTCATGGCATTTAGGATGGGCAGTGGCAAATATCTTTTTGTAAAGGCACATTTCAATTGTGTCCAGCTTTTTCTAAAACCTAGAATGAAGCCTGCCCACTAAGTTTTCATAGAGTAGGAGAGTCTGTTGGTTTCTCTTTGGTTTCTAAAAGAGGCAACTTGCTGCTCACAACTTGCTGAGTTTGGGAAGCAATTACACAATTGCTCCTAAATCTTTTCTAAGACAGAGAGATGAGAAGAATTCTCCCAGAATTGATATGAATATATATATGCTTATGTTCCTAGATATACTTTTTGAATTATGAAAATACAGAGGATAATTAATTCCATTTTACAATTCTCATATAGGATCTGGCATGGCTTAAAAGTATTTAATGTTTTAATTTATACAAGGCCACTCTTGTAATCAAAGAAGATAAATCCAGGGATGGAGAGATGGTTCAGCAATTAAAAGCACTGGCTGATATTGCAAATGACCTGGGTTTGAATCCCAGCACCCACATGGACCCTAACAACTGTCTGTAACTTCAGTTCCAGGGGATCTGACACCCTTTTCTGATCTCCCTAGGCACATACATGTAGGTATAACACTCATACACATAAAATAAAAATAAATAATTAAAAAAAAGATGAATCCTAGGTCAAAAATGACAGCAATGAGAGGCACGAAGCTCACCACACCCATTGGGGATCTGGAACTCACATGTGCTAAAGGACTGGCTTCAAAGCCCAACAGTACTCCAAGTGGCAGAGCTAAAAGGCACAGCAGGGAGTTACAATAGAGTACTCAGCATAAAGCCTAAAAAATATACATGGACAGACTTGATTTTCAGAGCAGGCCATAAGCAAATAGTTACAATGACAAATCGAAACAGTAAGGTAACTCCTCATCAGAGCTATTGTATCCCCAATTCAGTTAGAGATGAAAGCAAAAATTAAAGAAAAAAAAGCATTTCTTTATCTCATTAGATGGCCTCTATAATCTAAGGAACAAGAAGGCAAAAAGACCCAGTAACTCACTCTCTCTGCAAATGAAAATTATCAACAGGAATTCGAAGCTTCACTTCTCTGACAAAGTTTTCAACAAAACTAGAAGCCGCACAAGGAAATTTGGCAGCCTAAAAGACAGAAAACCATCACAAAGAAAAAGCCCCAACGAAACTATGAAAGGTCTAGAAAGACCTTTACAATAGAAATTGAAAAGAATGCATATCTTTTAAACCTCCCAACAAAATAGAAGTATGAGGGTAAATTTCCCCCATTACTTCCACTTCAATATAAAGTACTGCTCAGTGTATAAAGTAGACCCTTCCACATTCTGTACTGCCCTTATTCAAAGGACGTGTTCACATAGTAGGAATATTATACACCTACAGTAACAACTACCATTCTCCCCCCACCCTTTAAAATAGCACCACTTTCATCTTCCCATGCACATGCTTAAAGGGCTCCTGCACCCTAAAAAGCAGCAGTCCCTTCCACTACATGAGCTGCTTCCGTACCTAGTACACTATGACAGACAGTGGAGCTACTGTCAATGTTTTCATATTACAAACAGTGTTGGGGTGATCATTCACTTGCATCTCTTTGTTTATCTTATTGTTTCCTAGGGTCAACTTTCTAGGAAGGGAATTATTGGCTAAAAATTACACTTGGGGAAAATTTTAGTAACTGTCATACTTTCCTCCAGACAATCTGTATTGATTTGCATTATGAAGGCTTGAAATGCACGTATTTGGGGCGAGAGGTTCTTGGATAAGTTGAGAGTGGGTCAAGGTAGCAGAGGTTCAATTACGGACCCAAGAAAAAAGAAAACACAGACAACTAACTCTGCTGGTCTTCTCAATACAACAGAAGAGAAAATGTAAAAGTGTTTGCATAAAACAAGTCCTCACTGTCTGTGAGACAGAAAATTCAGGTTGCGATACCACCGGAGCCACTAGCCTTAGGGTTCCTGTAATTCTGTCTCTCCTAGAACCACCATTGCCATCCAACCCTTTGTGAAAAGTGGATAAATTTTGTCCCAGCTTTACTGAAATGGAGTCCACTCACCCTGAAACATGTCAACGTGAAAACCCACAATACGTTTCTGACATTCCTTGTTTTGGGGTTTCATGGTAGACAATTTGGACAAACTTACATGAATGTGGTTTCTAACTGTGGTCTATTCCCACAGAAAAGCTCATACCAGCTCTTCTGTTATGAGTGAGGTGTGTTCTCAGGAAAGCAATTATAAAGGAATCTGCAGACCAAGACAAACGGCTACTTCACAAAAATGCAGAATTTTCTATAAAAGCACAAAATCACAAATTCAAAATATGTGAATTCAGAAGTAATCAAACCATTTCAGCTTTGAATCAAATATTTGTAAATATTTCTAAAAATAACAGAGATGTACTCTGGAAATATTTAATTAAATTTAAATTAAAATAAGACAAATATCAATGATTGTTTTTCTCCTTTCCCCACTTGGATTTTTAACATTTTAAGCATCCTTCTGGAAAGATTCTACTCAGACAAACTCTATTTATCTTCAGAGTGAAAGGAGACCCTGAGGATATTTTTCCCTGGTTCTTCAGGATGCCTGCACGGCTCCACAGATTGATCAAGTTTAGATGGCCCAGCAAGGCTCACTTATCTCCAACTCTGCTTCATAAGCCAGACTTCAGCCATCAACCAATTTCCTGTGAGGGACTATTTCTCTCTGTTAAAATATCTAGTGCAAATATCTTGCAATATCTTCCTCACCAATCATTTCCCACTTCTTACAGCATACCCTGATATACACAGGGGTAATGTCATCAGTTTTTAATTTTCTAGCCAAAAAGAAGAAACAATAGGGTGATTATTCAAAACTGCAAGTAAAGGAAAAACAAAATCACATTTTAACTTGGAAGAAATTATTTGGGAGAGAAGGGAAATCAAGGTACAGCAACATGAATTTCCTGATTCATTATTTTTCCCGGGCGCTTACACTTGCTTTCCAAGATTCACATCCACTGATTTAGTCAACAAACTTCTCAATGGAAATTCTCTTGCAGCAGGATCATAAAGGGAGCAAACAAATGTGGTGTAAAGATTAATCCCTTCAACTGCCAATGAACAAATGAAAATGGACATCTTCAACACTTGGCATGAATATCACCACTAACTTCAGATGAAAATCCAAATAGTAACAGTTAAGATCAGAGAGGCTATCCACACTAAATAACCACGCATCCTCAAAACCACACACAGCTTGGTATATTTTTACCAGCACATATTTCATCATTTGCATGGCACCTACATTTAGGCTAAAGACTAAAAAGAACTAAGTATTCCACATCAAAACAGAACAGTTTTGCTGGGCATGGTGGCACATGCCTCTCATGCCAGCACTCAGGAGGCAGAGGCAGGTAATATCTGTGAGATCAAGGCCAACCTAGGCCAACCTAGTCTACATAGTGAGTTCTAGGCCAGCTGGGGCTACAGGGAGACTCTGTCTCAGAAGACAAAGAAACAAAAAATAGAACAATTTTATCTTTCATTAACTGAAGTCTATAATGTTTACCTCAAAGGACAGTTATGGAGATACAATCGACCACCACAGGAAGAGTCTTTCAAATCTGCAATACCCATATTTTTTACCAAAGTCAGTTATTATAATTAACAGCTTTGTCAGCAGAAGTCAGGAGACTCGGACATTTACAAGAGCTTTCACAAGCACACAAACTCATTTACTCAGTTCGATCTGACGCGGGGGAAGTAGATTTTAGGATGCCCCACTTTATAGGTGGAGCATCTCGGACCCAGAGTTCCGTGACTTGCTCAGTATCATAAAGAGGTAATATAATACAAGACAGTCTTTTCTATAACCCAAGGCCCAGAACCTCGTACGATGGCACCAACCACGCCTGCCTTAGTTTCATCCAAGAATTAAGTTAAAATTGTTGCTTATCATCACTTATCAAGATACAGCACTCATTTAACTAACAGTGAGGAGTGGAGGCATCATCGTTTCTGTAGCGAGACTGTGCTTAACTCGCTTAGGACTCACCCTCGCGGTCTCTGCTTCTCCCTGAAGTCGCGTGGGCGTTCCTTTTTGGTCAGGCACCTTCTGGAAATTTTTGTTTTTAATGGATTGAGATTCCACACCTTCACCTTCAATTTGCAGTTTAATTCCTTCAGCACGGGCAGGGTGATCAATACCCCGCGGATTCAAACCACAGTGGAGAGCTAGGAAAGGAGCAAATAGACTTCAGAAAACAAAACATACAAAGAAAGTGTCTGTGACAGAAAATATTTCATCAGGCTTAAGTGGGAAGAAACAAGGTTTCTTTGAGTTGAGAAGTGGTATGAAAACTAGAGGGGGGGGGGATGGGGAAAGAGGAGCACAGTATTGCAGGAAATCCTGCGCTTGGAAGCACAAATCCAAACCTTTCACAGTGAGCAACTTCCTAATTCCCACATTACATATGGGAACTCCAATCAGGCAGCTTCATTGCTGCTCCCATTCAGCTACTGCCACCCTGCAGGCTGCCTTACTGTTTGCCTTTATCCAGAACCTGTTCACTCCCTGCCCCCTACTGAATCTTTATTCATAAAACATCCATTCTAGTCTCCTCTCTTGCATTCCTTCAACCAATATTTATTGAACATGTATTATGTACTATCCATGAAGTAGACTCTTGACGACATGGATTTATGTAGAACAGGCTACCATCTGTTTCCAAGAACTGACTCTAAAATAGAGGAGCCAGACAAATAACTAGTAATTTTAAAAAGTTATCACTGCTACAAGAAAGTGAAGGAAAGGTCAGGGAGGAGAGATTAAGGCACTCAAACTCAGAGATTCTGATTTTTCATCTTAGTCTCTTTATGTCTTTAACATGAAAACTTCCACTAATAAAATCTGAAGCTCAGGTCTGGGATATTCACTTATAAAATATATCATAAGTTCCTCCTATAAACCCAGCTTTGTCTAAGAAATAGCAATGAATATTTTGAGAATCATATAGTCCCATAGATGATTCCCACAAGCCACCACATGCACATGTGTCTGTGTACACATGCATGTGTGTGCATGGCAGGTGCCATGGTTAGCTTCAGTTGTCAACTTGACACACCTGGGAAGAGGGAACCTCAACGGAGGAACTGACTCAATCATATTGGCCTATGAGCATGTCTATGGGCATTTTCTTGATTAATTGATGTTAGAGGGATCAGCCCACTGTGGGCAGTGCCATCCCTGAGCAAGGTGGGTCTGGACTATATAAGAGGTAACTGAGCAAGCCAGAAGAAGCAAGACAGTCAGCAGTGTCCCTCTGTGGTCTAGGCTTCAGTTGGGATGATGGGCTGTGACCTGTCAGCTATATAAACCCTTTCCTTTCCAGGTTGATTTTGGTCATGGTGCTTGTCACAGCAACAACAAAGCAAACTAAGGTGTTTTGTGGTATCTTATAATAAAGTAGTCTGCCTCCCCATGTCTCTGACCCTTCAGATTTAAATTTCTACCTTCATCATCTTCCCTTTGATCTCAGAGGGTTCAAAGTCAGATACTGAAACTTCCGTCCTACCTCCTTCAGGACACTAATTCACTAACAATCTCCTGTAAACTTAGCATCTTTAGCCTCCTGCATTCACATCACTCTTCCCCTCTGGTCACCTCTGCTGTTCTACATTCCTGCCATCTCCACTCATCACCCTATCCAGGCTGTACCTCCCTTCCCTTTGGTTTTTGAAGAATATTTTAACAAGACTGCTTTGAAGAAATGCTTCCCAGAAGTGAGGTATGGTGTTTTCTTCATATTCTCTGCTTCCTCCTCAGCACATTCCATCTATTCCATAGCTCTTGATATAGGCAACATCCCAGTGAGTCGAAGTTTTAGCTTCAACCTCACTAGACCTCAGAAGTGTACCAGACATAAGTTAAACTGCAAGTGGGTATCCCAATTTTAATGTAAATATGATGCCCCAATTTTAATATATTCAAAACTTACCTTCAGTTCTACAATAAAAATTGGCTGTTGACTTCCCCAAAGCTAAGGAGTCATGCTTGGCTTCACTTGACCCAAGATCCAACATGATTTCCTCCCATTTGTCTGCAAAACCAAAGTACTATTCAAATCCATCCATTAATCCATATCTGTTGCTACCATTCTAGACTGATACACATGACTCACTCAGATTGCCACACTAGTCCAGGTACTCTTCCTTGAACTTTAAGACACATGAAAAGGGCTGGAGAGATGGTTCGGTGGTTAAGAGCACTGACTGCTCTCGCAGAGGATCCGGGTTCAATTCTCAGCACCCACATAGCAGCTAACAACCATCTGTAACTCCATTTCCAGGAATCTGACACTCTCTTCTGACCTTCATGGGTATTTTGCAACACGGGTGCACTTACATACATGCAGGCAATACACTCATATACATAAAAAAAATTTTTTTAAACCTGGACAACCTAAAACATCTGCTTGTAAAGTCACACACATACATGCAATCTACCATTTTACATAGACAATATTTATGAATTTCTTTTCTCCTAGTCTCTTTCTTAAAATCAATGAGCAGCCTATCTCATAGAACAAAGTTAAGCACTCAGTGTGTATCAGTTCATGTGCCCTCCCTCTGGCTTTGTTCTGAACTTCAATAATATTCATGAAAAACTGTGAGACATAATTATATTCATCTTTCAGATAAGGGAAATGAGGCTCAAAGGGGTTATAGTCACAAAAGTTCACAAAGGTGTCTGCAGAAGGCCACAAAGATCAAGGATCATTTGGAATGCACATGGTTTTAAGATAGAGATGATCAAATCCAAACTGGATTAAACAGAAAGGAAATTTGTAAGCTTTCATAACAGAAAATTCAGTCAAAATGTTCAGTTAGCTGATTTCAAAATTCAACAGTCCCTAAAAGTCCTTCATTTTTTTCCCCCAATTTCTTCATGCTGCTATGTGTAGCATCACCTTTATCCTATATACAGGTGACCTTGAAGTACCCAGAGCTCCTTGCTTGCAGTGTTCATTTTATAGAACTGCATGCTTGGTTAGGCATTTTCCCCCAACACACTCTAAACCCTTTCCTCCTTCCTCACTGGCTGAGAGTGAATCCTGGGATTCACTTGCAGTGACCACAGTATTACCCTTAAGCCAAGTGCACTTCAATCAAGGTCAGTTTCCCAAACTATGCTGCAGGTACTCAAGAGAGCTGGGGCAGAGCAGCTGCTAGAGAACCAACTACAATGCCCAAATTAGAACGATGGAGAGAGAACTTGGTAGTCAAAACCTATGAGAGCACAAAACCAGTTACTGTTAATCGGCTTCTTCATCTCCAAAGATTAGCCTATTTAAAATGAATCTTCAATTAAATATACTAAAATTGTGATTATTCTAAAAAAGTATGCTTCTATAGGGAAACAGATTGGCATGAGATGAAATTAGACATTAAAGAGTTGAAAGAAAGATGCCCAGCTTTGATCTTCCTCTTTCCCCACGATCCTCTGCTGCTTTCTGCATTGAAATTCAGAATCTGGGAACTTTGAACTGCTGCTGATTTCCATCATCTTGGATTGTGTTCACTCACCGGTTGCCTCTTACCAGTTCAGACTCTCCGTGCTCCCTTCATCTCTGGCCACAGGCCCCTCCCCCAGAAAGAAGTTTTACTCTACCTAGGCACTAATCTACATTTCTACCAGTAGCAATGTACCAGGTTTCCACATGAGGGCTACATACGAAAAAGACAGGGCCTTGGAATCTTGACACAATGCTAGAATATATACATATTTGCAGTGAAAATTTTCCCTGTGTAACTTTTTAAAAGAGCAAGGCTCTAACATCTTGCTAACACCCATTTTGGATTTTAACCCTTCATTTTGAAATTTTCATTGTTAATAAATTAAAGTCACAGTCAGCCTTCAGTTAAAGACCCCAAAGCTTGCCCATGGTGTTAATTCAGTAACTAGAAACCTGCTAAGCACAGGAGTATTTAAGAAAAATCAAGGAAACATGAACAGGGTCTCAAAGCTGACCCATGCTGCTGAGCCCATTAAACTGAGTAAATAACTTCAGTGGAAATAAGAAAGGGGAATGGTGTGGACAAAAAAAGAGAAAGCAAAAGGGGGGCCTTTTACAGGATAAGCAGAAATGAAGGTCACCCTTAGAAGAGGCCCCTGGAAAGTTGCTTGATTTGTAAATATCAGGGACATGAAATTTCAGGGAAAAGACAGCAAAGCCTGTCAGAAATAGTTTTAAACAAATAAGTAAGTCCAAGCACAAAAAACCTAAATCAACTACTGGGTTTGCAGACAAGGAGGGAACAGTTATGGAGGATTAAAATATTTGTGTGAAGAATAAGGCTACGTGTGTAGAAAGTCAAGAAAGTGTACTACACCTTCTGTTTATAGACGACCTTATATTTTGAACACCAAATACCTGCAGAGCAAAGTTTCCTTCTGACTTAAGGCATGACTATGCAAAGAGCTATTTCTGGTTTATTCTTCAGTTGAACAAGGTTTCTTTTGTTGTTTTTGTTTGTTTTTCTTTTTGTTTTTGTTAGTTTGTTTCTTTTGACAGGATCTCCCTAGTCCCAACCTGCCTGGAAGTCACTATGTGGACCAGACTGGCCTCAATCTCACAGAGTTCCACCTGCCTCTGCCTCCTGAGATCTGGGATTAAAGGCCTGCGCCACCACAAGATGAATAAGAGCTGGCGCTACATGCCCTCCCAGGACTTACAGCTTTGGTAGATGAAGCAGGCAGATCAATACTTCTGGGGCATGAATTACCTGGGAATAGTTGCATGAGGTAGTGTCACCAAAGGATTCTTGCTGTGAAGGCCAAAGCCTCCTAGAGGGCTTTTTGAAGGTCTATGCTGGCGTGTATAGTGAGTAGGTGTTAGCTTCCCAAACAAGTAACAGACCTATGGGAGCAGATCTTTCTAGAAGGGAACAGTGTGAGCAGATATGGAAATATGAAAATCTGTTTGGATGTGGGAGAACAGTAATAAAATGAGAGTGACACTGGTAATTCAAAAGGTTAACAACCCAAATATACATGGATAGAGCAATGGTTAAATAAATGTGATATATACAATGAAACTGTTGTTCATCCTTAATCAGGAATGAAATTTAGAGAGACACTACAGCATGCATGAATGTTGAAGGAATTGTGTTAAGTGAAATAAGTCACACACAAAAGAAGAAATATAGCTGGGCAAAGTGCTCTTCTCTGCCGT